GCCCCAAGGGCATCTGGACACAGCGATTTCTGTTGCAGCCTGGGCACCAAGACCCTCATCAGGTAGGTACCTTTTGAGGACAGGTCTCCATTATCCCCCTCTCTTCTGGTACTGACACTTTATAATTTACAAACTGTTGGAAGTGTCCATGTGGTCAGTGGAGGCCCTTTGAGCTTTTTAAAAAAGGACATTATTTTTTTCTATAATTCAGTAGAAAATTCAGTAATTATCAGAGCTCAGAATATGCTGGAAGTAATCCTCGGTTTCTTGTCTTCATCTTTGACTGGAAATGTATCCAGAGGTTGGAGGGATGTCCCTGAGTCTTCTTGTTCTGGGATACCTAGAGACTGTGCTGGATAAGTCGGGAGATGCTATTAGAAGAGTACAGAGATTTTCTGTTCTTTCCCGCTTCTATTAATATGGAAAGACTTTTTTTGTCCACAACCAAACTATGATTCTGTGATGTAGCTGAACTTGCTAATTTTAAAGGAGGGTGGAACTAATTTAGCTATAAGGGATCACTTCATCCCAAACCATTCTATGGTTCTCTTGACCACAGTGATAGGCAGGAACCTCCTTTACCAAGTGTTGGGCATCTCCAGGGACATCAATTTCCCTCAACTCCAGAACCTAGGTAATTCCCAATTCTTTTTTGACTATGGCCTTTGTGTTGAGTGTTGACATGAGCAGCACCTAGCAAGCAAACTCTGCTTTGTCTTTTGGAGAAGGTGAGGCAGAAGTGTGAGAATAAAAGCAGCAGCAACATGTTTCATCTGGGAACTGCATTTGGAAATCTGTGTTGTTCCACCCTTGGCTCTGTCTCACCAGAAGCATGTATTTCTCCTCAAGACAGAAGTGTTGGATGCAAAAGGATTAAGGGAACACAGATTCCAAGACCAGATATTCTGGTTGTTTTCCACAAGTGTTTGAATTCTGATTTGGCCACAAGTTCAAGCATCAGGCATTACTTGTCCCACATATCCCTTAAGAGAGTTCATAGAGAATTCATAGAGAATAAGATGATGGGAATTGCCCAACAGGCCAACTCTTCCCCAGCTGCTCCCAGGAATTCCTAAAGGTACATACCTGAGACCCATTGTTTGAAACAAGCCACTTACGATAGTCCTCTTGCAATTTATAACATTACTGTGTGCTGTAATGTCCAAGACCTTTGGAGTGTCCACTCTGCAACCCCGTGAAGTCCTGGGAGAAGTGTCAGCCATGAAGATCCTGTTCCTGCTCTTTCCCTTGTTCCTCCTGTTGATCCCGAGTGCTGCAGGTAAGAGGGGAAGAGGGAAAAGTGCCGTCACACACTCTTCTCCCAGACTACTGTTTCAACTCTTTTCCTGTGCATGATTTTCCATGGCAGCAGGAAAACATGAAAAGTGCATCCGAAGAGGAGGATTCTGTGCTGTGGGGGGCTGTCGTTTCCCCTATAAATTCGTGGGAGTTTGTTCAACACTGAGTCACTGCTGCAAACCGTAAGTTCTGGAAATTATTTGCTCCTGGTCATAGATAAAGTTATTATTGTCTTTCAAGCCTTCACACATTCATACTCAGAGGCAAAAGTCAGGGAAAGGAAGGGAAAGTCCTTTTGGATTTGGACCTGCTCTGAGTAGTGCTGAAGAAGCCCCAGGTCAACCAGTTCTGCCCTACACTCCTTTAGCCCCACAGGGTTTGCTCACTGTCAATGCAGAGACCACAGCTCTGTTGAAAAAATGAGAAGGCTGTCCCTGGAATAGTGTGAGGCACAGGATCCTCTCTCCTGATATCTGTGACAGCTGGAGTTGGCCTCTGTAGGTTGAGTGTTATCTTCCTGTGGTTGTTTTTGGTGCAGAGGAAGAGGGAGAAAGAGGGGAAAGAAAAGTTACAATAGGTGATGTGCTTGTTTCCTCTCTTACAGTGTTTGGGGTTGAGACCCTGAAATTCCCAAGCAGGACTTGCCCCTCACTTCTGACTGCTGGACCCATCTCCTGATGTCCCCTCCCGTCCCTGCCCGTACCATGCCCAGCTGGGGTGACAGCAGCAGTGGCAGCTGCTCCTGCTGGGTGCTGCTGGGCTGGAGCCCTGTGGTGCCAGCCCCGCTGTCTTTGGGGCAGGGGCTGCTTTTCCCAGCTTGAATAAAGACGAGCACTTTGGCATTGCAGGCCTGGGCCGTGTGTGTGTGTGTCCTGCTGCTGGAGGGCTGCTGGGTGGCACTGGCCTGGGGGTGGTGCTGGGGCTGAGCAGTGGCTGTGTCCCTGGGGATGCTCCTGCCTGGCCCTGGTTTGGGGACGCTGAGCCTGGCAGTGCCTGCTGGGCCAGGCTGGCTGGGGTGCCTGTGCTGGAGCTGCCCTGAAAATGCTCCCTACTGTGAGGCAGAAAACTGATCCTTCTTTTTATAGGCCCAGACTTCTTTCTTTTCTCAGGCCCCTACTTTGCTGTCACTCCGTTTGAGGTGGGTGATGGTCCTTTCTTGTGGGTGGTGCTCAGCACAGGTGCGTATGAGCTCAAGGGAGGCACTGTCTGGCTGCTGGGTGGGAAAAGAGCTCACAGGGTTCTCTCCAGGGATGTCTCATATGCCCAAATGGAGCAGGACATGGCTCCAGTTGGGAATCTCAAGCTACACATCTGTTTTGTGTGTTCATTGTGCACACCTGTGGAGCCCCCTCTCAGTCTGGTTGTTGTCTGGGCACACTGGAGACTGGCCGGAGCCCAGGCAGGGCCTTGCCCTCTGTGCCGAGGCCACCTGGGCTCTGCAGAGCTCTGGGAGATGCTGGAGTGTCCCTGCAGCTCCAGCAGCAGCTCTGGGCTGGGCAGGGCAGCAGACCCAGCCTACGGCTGTCCTCATGTCCCTGGGCTGCCAATTGTCCCCTGTCTCCAACATCAAGGAGAAGTTTTCTGGTGATTTTTATGGCACTTGATTGGGACACACTCAGGGTCTCCCCTCAGCAGCCTTCAGCAGAGACTCTCCAACATATCTGATGTCTCTATCCCAGCACAAGGCAGGATTCTGATGGTGAAGCAGGATTTCCCTTCCGCCCTTCTCCTCCTTCTCTCCACTGCTGGGCACAGTGCTGTGGACTCAGAAAGATATACGATAGGAACTGTGGTGATAGGGGCAAAACCTCATCCCTAAAATAGCCCGAGCCATGCTACAAGCTCCAGTCCCAGCTGCAAATCCTGCAGCAGAAACCATTCCTTAAAGGAATGGGGCAGTGAGGAATGTTTCAGTAGCACAGCCACCAAGAGAAATCATATGTGACTCATCATCTCAGTAGAGGCAAAATAATACTGAAAGGTTTGGGTTCTGTCTTTCATCTTCATTCTTTTTACAGGAAAATTCAACATCCATAGCACAGTTTTACTGTAGCATGACTTAAACCCTCTATTTTTTATCCAGTTAATTCATTAGTGTTGTACCTGCTGCTCCCTGGAACATATACAAGAGGAGAGCACGCATCACAGGCTGGAGTCACTTGAGTGTTCACAATGTCCACCCCAAAATTTCCCTTCCCTGTTTTCCCTCTGCACCAGAGAAAAGGAAGTTTTGATTTCCTCTTCTGACACCTCTGAGAAGGATTCCCAATCCAAGGTCTGGTGTCACCCTGCCTTGTGTAAAAACTCCTTGTGGTGCTGTGGTTTGTTAGGCACATCCAGGGACACAGACACAGACCCTTCTCACTGGAAAACATCGCCAACCTGCTGCTCTGGCACAGAATGGAACTTTTCCCACTTCTCTTCAAAAAACCTTCCCAGTAAACAATCTGGGCAGTTGGGCCCTTTGTTTCTGCTGAGGATGCAGAATCCATTTCCCATATTTTTTGCAATTGTCACCTTGTCACTGTGACTTCACATTTCAGGGTTGTACAGGAAAAAATGTTGAGACACCAGGTTCCACTGCCAAATCCTCAGAAACTCAGGCTCTGCAGTTTGGGGGCAACCAGATTGCTCTGCCAAACGCCAGGAGAGGGAGCTGCTAACTTGGGAACGTGGCAGAGACCCCTCCTGCCCAGCAAGGACTTCTCACCAGAACTGGGCTGGTGCTGATGTCTGCACCCCCCAGTTCCTGTGCCCATCCCAAGGATTTCCCAGCTGGCCCCACAGCCCATTGCTGCTGTGCCATGGGTGTCACAAGAGGTGTTGCATGGGGACAACGGTGACATTGATTGCAACAGCCCCAGGAGGCACCTCAGCCCCTGGCCCTGCAGCAGGGAGGGAGCAGGGCCAGCCCCAGCGCACATGAATTGACTGCAGGGTTGGGTCTGCACTCACAGGAATGCTGACACCACTGGGTGTTGGAAGTGAAGAATGTGGTAACATCAATTTGTCCGAGCTGACAGAGAAGACACCTGGCTTTTGACCTGCTGGGTGATTTTTATTGGCATTTTCAGGTTGTAGCCCAAAGGCACCCTTTGGAAAGATCATCTTCTGGAGGATCTGTACAGCCAGCCTGGGCGATCTATTTCCCTTGAAGACATGCTAAGGTGTTCTGGGGGCTGTCTGCAGGATCCTCCAGAAGGGATGTGGAAAGGACAGAGGCTGTGGGCTGAAAGAGGAGTTGGTGCTGTGGGCCTGGAAGGCAGGGAATTGAGAAGGGACTGCACAGCAGACCTCAGCCCCAGGGCAGATGGGGAAAATGGAGATCCCAGTCCTCAGCGTGATGGGAATCAGGGACATCTGGGATGCGTGGGGTGGAAGCATGGCCATGCTTGGCAGAGACAGCCCCCAGCATGGCCATGCACACAAAACTGTGGCTGTTGGGGACAAGGGACATCCAGAACCAGCAGGACCAGGACAAGGGGCCCAATTCCCCAGAGGGAGCATCTGCAGGGCAGCTCCAGCACAGGCACCCCAGCCAGCCTGGCCCAGCAGGCACTGCCAGGCTCAGCATCCCCAAACCAGGGCCAGGCAGGAGCATCCCCAGGGACACAGCCACTGCTCAGCCCCAGCACCACCCCCAGGCCAGTGCCACCCAGCAGCCCTCCAGCAGCAGGACACACACACACACGGCCCAGGCCTGCAATGCCAAAGTGCTCGTCTTTATTCAAGCCGGGAAAAGCAGCCCCTGCCCCAAAGACAGCGGGGCTGGCACCACAGGGCTCCAGCCCAGCAGCACCCAGCAGGAGCAGCTGCCACTGCTGCTGTCACCCCAGCTGGGCATGGCATAGGCAGGGACGGGAGGGGACATCAGGAGGGGATTTTCAGGAGCCAGAAGTGAATGGGATGTTCTTCTCAGGAATTTCAGGGTTTCAACCCCACAAACTATAGGAAGAAAGCAAAGAAGCACATCATGTGGTGTAACTTTCCCTGTCCCTCTCTCCCCCTGCCCTGCAATGCCCAGGGTGTGGTGCAGCAGCCTCAGGCTCAGGGCAGGTGAGGTGCAGTCCTTGGTGCAGACAGGTTGGACCTGGGCTATCTCAGTGCTGGCAGCCCTGGCTCCAGGTCTGTGCAGGTGCAGCAGGACCTGGATCGTGTCCTCAGTGCTGCCCAAGGACAGGGAAGGTTTTTCTCTTTAGTGGCTTTGTTGACTGGGGAGGCCCTGGCTGACCTGGGGCTGCTGCAGCCCCACTCAGGGCAGCTCCAAAACCACAAGGGCTTTTCTCATGTTTTTGGGGCTCTTAGACTAATTATAAAAGCAGGAGAGATTTAGTCAAGTGTTGGCTAGAAAAAATTAGTTACAGATCCCTCTGGGGAAAAAGGAGGAAACTCTTTAGACAGGGATCTGCTCCTTACCTTTTGCAGCACACACTGACTGCTGAACATCTTCCAACGGGTGTTGTGGGGTAGCGGCAACCCCCAAAGGTGCAGAATCCCCCTCTGCGCCTGCATGCAGATGAACTTCCTGTTTGCATGGACAAAAGCACCCACAAAACAGTTACATCAATAATAATGATATTGGATATTATTATTAATAAGCTGATGGATAAGAAAGAAATTGTGCTCCAGGAAACACCACCATCCAAACACCTCTGGGGCTCTCTGCCATCCCTGTGCAGGGCAAGAGACTCCTAAACAGGAAGAGCAGGGCACAGGCTTGGAGTCTGGAAGCAAACGCCTTCTTGACCCACAGAACAGGCCAGGATTCTGTCTCCATGGACTCTTTCCGCTGTAAATCATTGTTGAGTTGGAAACTCACTGGAGAAACCCCTTTGACCTGGGTCCTCTGTTACTTCCTTATCACCCCCACAAACACGGTCACTTCCAGGGACTTTGAATTGCCCCTGGTGCAGGTTTACACTTTCCCCATTTCCCCTCTTCCCTCTCACCTGCAGCACCCTGGGCCAACAGGAGGATCAGGGGGAAGAGCAGGAACAGGATCTTCATGGCTGCTGCCTCTCCTGGGTCTTCACAGGGCTGCAGAGGGGACACCAAGGCAATGGGGACATGCAGGAGCCCAGGCATGGCAGGAGCCAGTGTTGCAGGGCTCTGTGGCTCAGCAGAGAGCAGAGGGGCTGCCTCCAACCACATATGATCAACTTCCCTTTACCTTTCTCTAAAAACAATTCTTAGGTCTGTGCCAGCCTTCAAACCTTGGCAGTATTCCACTGTCTCAGTCTCTGGGAAATCAATAACCTGCACTGATTCAATTGCCTTCCTCATAGATCTTCTGAAACCTTTTCCCAGAGCACAGACTGCAGATCTGGGACCCACTGTTGCTGGTGAAACCAAAATAAATGGCCAGTGAAATTTGGGAAATGCAGAGATAAAATGGCCATTGACAGGCATGGAACTACAGGGCTGTTCCTCCTTTGGGCTTCATGTATCAAACACACACCCCAAACACCCTGACCAATCCTCTCTGCTTCCCTGGGATCACAAAAGTCCTCCCAGTTCAGCTTGGCAGTGTCCATTCCCAACCCCAGAGCATTCCCAGGATTCCCAGCAAGGACATTCCCCAGCACTGACCCAGGGAGCAGCCAGAGGGCAGGGACGTGTCTTGGTGCCCAGAAATGGGAGCAGAAATCAATGTGTGGAATTTCTGAAAGCCTGAAATGATGAGAAAACTCCGTAGTGCTGAGGGAAAACAATCTGCTTACTTTCCTAAAGAAACTGCCCATTGCCCAAGCAAAGAAAATTCTGGGTCTCTCCTGCAGCATCAAGGCACTGTACCAGACTATCCTGTACTTGGGAAACCTCAGTTTCGGCTTCCACATGTTCTGGTCTCTTAAACTCACATGAAGGCTTTTATTCTCGCTCCCAAAAAATCTCTGATGGCCGAACTTTCCACCTGGATACTTCCAGCAGTTTGTCCTTTAGGAGACTCTGCCATCCTGGTCTTTGAGCTGAGACACAGAGTGGGCAGGATTCCGGAAGGAGACCCCACACTCACCTGCCTGGAGAAGTTCTGGGTGTTGAGGCAGCAGCAAACCCACCAGGAATGGCTGTGTCCAGATGCCCTTGGGGCCAGGGAATGCTGCTTTGCCCCAGACAGGCTGGATTTATAGCAGTGCTGGTGGGTGGGACAGGCCCCAGTTGTTGTGGCCTGGGCCAACCCAGGAGTGCCCCGTGTGTGTGGGGGTGCTGGGGCTGGCCCTGCTCCCTCCCTGCTGCAGGGGCAGGGGCTGAGGTGCCTCCTGGGGCTGTTGCAATCAATGCCACCGTTGTCCCCATGCAACACCTCTTGTGACACCCATGGCACAGCAGCAATGGGCTGTGGGGCCAGCTGGGAAATCCTTGGGATGGGCACAGGAACTGGGGGTGTGGGCACCAGCACAGAATCTTTCTTTCACATAATCACCTCTAGAATGGCTTGAGTAGAAAGGGACTTGAAAGGTCATCTCTTTCCAACCCCCTGTCATAGACAGGGATACCTTCCACTGTCCTAGGTTTCTCCAGGCCCTGTCCAACCTGGCCTTGGACAGTCCCAGGGATGGGGCAGCCACAGCTTCTCTGGGAAACCTGCACCAGGCCCTCATCACCCCCACAGGGAAAAATCTCTTCCCAATATGCCATCTAACATTGCCCTCTGTCTGAAACCTTTCCCTCTTCTCCCATCTTTTTCCTATGTCACTTCTCCTCTGATTGAATAACCAATTGGCATGGGATATGCAAAAACTCACAAAATATGGAAAACACCTTTGGACACTTCAGGAACTTCTTATTAGACAAGAGCTCTTTGCACCTGACATGTCAGAGTGTTAAGCAGGGTTCTCTCTAGTGACTCTTCATATAAAATGAGAGCAACACCAGGATAGATGACATGTTCTATAAACCAGGTGATCCAACAAAACCGCGTCTCCTTCTAATGCCAACCAAGGTGAAGAAATACAAGCTGGATGCAGCCATCACTTGTGAATGCAGTGTGTTTGATGCCAGCCATGCCACTGGGAGAAGTGACAGTCCTTGCTGGGCAGGAGGGTCTGTGCCCAATTTGGCACTTCCTCTCCAGGTGTTTGGCAGAGCAATCTGGTTCCCCCAAAACTACAAGGGTTGGGGTACTGGGGATTTGTAAGTGGAACTTCTTGGCCTTTTCTCATGCCCAACCCAGAGATGTGAAGTCACAGTGACAAGGTGGCAATCATAAAAATGTGGGAGATGGATCCTGCATGCTCAGCAGAAGCAGAGGCACCATCTGCCCACATTACTGATGGTGGGTTTTACTGGGAGGGTTTCTTGAAGGGACTCAGAAAAGGTTCCACTCTGTGCTAGAGCAGCAGGTGGGTGCTGGTTTCCAGTGAGCAGGGTCTGTGTCCCTGGATGTGTCCCTGTGTCCCTGGATGTGTCCCTGTGTCCCTGGATGTGCCCAACAAACCACAGCACCACAAGGTCATTACACAAGGGAGGATGACACAAGGCCCTGGGTTGGGAATCCTTCTCAGACGTGTCAGAAGAGGAAACTGGAGCCTCCTTTTCTCTGGTGCAAGGGGAGCAACAGGAAAAGGAACTTTTGGGCTACTGGTGACTCCAACCTGGCCTCTGTGCTCTCCCTCTCTTGATGCTGCAAGGAGCAGCAGGAAAGATATTAATGAATTGAATGCATGGCAAAATGAAGGATTTAAATGATGCTACAGTGAAGCTGTGCTGTGATACTGAGTATTCCATATAGACACAATGCAGATGAAAGAAAGCACAGGAAACATTTTTTTTTCAGGTATTTCTTTTATCCCTGTCAAGGTCATGAGTCACATATGAGTTCTCCAGGTGGCTGTGCAATGCTCCCTAAAGCTTCTCACTGCAATCCCTTTAAGGAATGGTTCCTGCTGCAGGTTTTGCAGCTGGGATCGGCACTGGGAACTTGTAACAAAGCTCTGGCTATTTTAGGGATGAGGCTTTGCCACTGTGTCCACAGCTCCTAGCCCATCTCTTTCTGGCATGGGCATAGTGCCCTGTTAAAAGAATGATATCTGGGCCTATGAACACCAGGACAATGTTCCTGTTCCCCAGAGGGAGCAT